TATCATCTTCATGGCAGACAGAAAATGGCAGATGCATTCTCCTGGGAGGAGCTGCAGGCAGCAATGAGAGAGAATGAGACAGAGTCAGGGCAAGATAAATAACTACTGCTTGGGAAACTGAAGGCTGTCTGTATGAGCGGACAACATTTTAACACTTTTACAAGTTTGCTAGTTGTGGTGATTAACCTTGGCCAAACCCTGACCAACTAATGATGTTTTAAATGTGTTAAAAGCTGGCTAGAAAATTTCTGCTGAAACATATTTTCATCAGATCTATTGAAATCAAAGCATTTTAGCCAAGATGGGTTTGTTTTAACAAATCCCAGTGGAATCCTATTTGCAAGGCAGGTCTTCACTTTAAACTTCTGCAGCTGCTTACTGTATGGGATGATGGAGAACTGAAATACCTGAGCTCTTAGTAGCCCTAAGCCTGTTTCTTTACAGGAAGAGCCTATAGTTCTAAGACTAGAAATGACTACTACTTTATTCATTTGCAGACAATTTGGACATACTTTGAGTTCCACTCCTACCTGGAATGAAAAATATTTTAAGATAATAAAATCCTTTTTTGAAAAGGAAGCATTTTCTGCTTCCATTTCTTCTTCCAAGCTCTGCTGACACTAACATGGAAGTTAAAAGGATTAGAAGCTAGCTGACTTTGTGCATGCAGTGAGATAGAACTGCCTGACCTGAGACAATAAAACAGGTTTTCATCCAGTATAGGAGAGACTGGCACATAGAACATCCTTTTGTATTTTATCATTCACCCATTTGATTTCTTCTGTTAAGCTCACCTGGTATCTCCTCAGCCTTCTTGTACTAGGTTTTCCTCTAGGTTAATGTTATTATATACTCTATTCTGTATTTCCTGGTATCGGTATCCATTGGCATCATTATCTTAATGTAAAGTACTTTGTTACGTTCTTCAGTCACCTTCCTGGGCTTACTGAATATTCCTTGTCCAGCCCAAATCCCAACTATGGGCTGTCAGACAATGGCACAAAGTATCTATTCTGCCCTCTAGACTGTTCAGCATGAGATAAAAATAGAAGGGAAGTAAAAACTTGAAATGGTATTAGAACGTATTTTAACTTTCATATTTTATCTGGTAGCACATTCATGCTGCTTATGTTGCTGTTGTGATGGGCTAAGGCTTAGTTCCAAGTCACTGAAGATAACAAAATGTTGACAGGCATGGTACAATTTGAGAACCTAGGTAGATACTTGATTGATTAGTCATTCTGCCGGATGGAGGCTGTGATATAGATGTACTGTACTTGGGAAAGTCTGAAGCCTTTGTTTTCTGTGCATTGTACCTATCAATTGTAATGAACTCTGCCTTTGTGTGGCAGCTGTAATCATTTGCTTACCCATACTGTCAGTCTCTGTTGCATTAAAGACATACACCTAGTATGATCTTCTAGGGTGTCTTTGCTTTTAGTTTTTTTGTTTTGTTCTTGTTATAGTAAAAATTGCCTAGGTAGAAAATTCATGCATGTTCCTGGTTCTCAAAATAAAAAAAAAAAGGAGACTCAGGAGTCTTCTTTTACATGGTGTGATAATAAAGACAGATGCGAAAGTGCTCCATGCCTCCAAAGTGTATCTGGGCTCTTATAGCTCCTTAAGCTCTGTCTTCTACTCTATTACATTGTACATGGATTATAGGAATAGAAAACTTGGGATACTGCAGGAACTAAGTATTTCATGGCTAGATAATATATGTTATTCTTTCAAACTATTTGCTGCAATGCTTAGCCATGTAGAAATACCGTTCTGTGAGTACCTTGCTATAGGTGTAATTCTGCTAGCATACCTGTGTTAGTTTAGTCATGATAGCACTGGGAACAGCAGTGGTGAAGACAGAAGCACTGGTTTGTCATGACAGCACTGGGAAAAGCTGTGGTGAAGACACAGAAACACAGATTTTGGCATGTATCAGCAGCCAAAAAGTATATCTGGGCTCCCTGCAAGACTTTTTTGTCCATACTAAGGAATATACCTCTTCAGTGGTACTGCTACCTGTGTTAGATAGGTTATTCTAGCATATGCTGCTATCACCCCCTCTTTAAAAGTAGCAGGATGGTAATGTCTTAGAGCCAAGAGATACTATCTTTTAAGTGACATGAAGTCCCTGCAAGTATTCCTGTGGGAAATGAACTGCTGTTCCAGGCATATTTCTTCAATGGTCAAAAAAGGAAGAAAGAGGAGGAACAGAAAAAAAGCCATGACTAAATAGGTTTTGTATTCTAATCAAATGAGTGTCTCAGTGTTCTCACGAGTCTGTCGGTTCTGTAAGACTTTCAGGGAGTGGTGAGCATGTGGTATGGGGAATCTTGCAGTAGGCAGGACGATTGTAAGAGAAACAATTCTAAACATTTTTATGCTTTTGTTCTAGGATTGTCTATCTTGCAAGAATTTGGATCCTATCATAAGAACTGTGACTCAGATCCTGAGAAAGTGCTACCCCAAGGAGCCTCTGCCTGTGCCAACAGTAAGAAGTTCCTATTCCTTCCCTCTTCCTGGGAGTGTTAGGACTGAACCTCCATGTATGGTACCTGAAGGTAAGTGGCTGAAGGGTGAATGTTTGGTAGAAGGAAGAGCATGACAAGAGCATGACAAGAGAATTAAATGTCAAAATTGGGGATGGGAGTTTTGGAAGCCTGATTCTGAGGTTTTATGTTTAAAATTAGCCTGGTGGCCTGCAGTGTCACTCAGTAGAGATGGACCTACTCCCAGATCTTCTCAAGGCTTGGAGATGTTTTTTAGAGAATAAAGCAAAATATATCAAAAGGAGAGAGAGAGAAAAAAATCCTAGTATTATCCAAAAGTGATGGAAAAGAGTGGGCAAGGCAGAGAGGAGAAATGCCACTGCTCGATGAAAGCAACAATGATTGTACCTTTGCATAAATTCTCCTCTCCAGCTTTTTCAGTAAAAAATACCGGAAGTATTAGCTTTTTTCCTTTCTAAAATAAAAGCAGGTAGCAGGCTTAGTGCGTGAGTAGAAAAGTAGAACTTAGGCACAGGCAGGACAGCCGTGCCACAGAGAAGGAGAAACAGCAGAGATTCCGTCACACACACAAGAAATTTCTCTGTTGCTTTTAGTTTCACATGGAAGACACTCACAAACTATAATGATGATAGCAGTAAAACACCCTAATGTAGATAACATAGATTAAGAGCATCCTGTAATACCATTGCAGCCAAGCAGAAAATCTCTGTATTGCTTTGTAATATGAGCTGGATCCATATCATGGTGACATTTTTCATGGTTTTGAAAGGCAGTGTTTGAGTCCAAGAAACCGGAGCATTAAAAAGTGGGCGATTCAGTGCCAAATTCATTTATACTAAATTAATAAATGGAATCTGCTTTAATCGCGGTTATGGTGGGTTGTAGTTGGAAGGAGTATATGCCACACACAGAAGAGACTGCATGTATTTCTGTGGAGGGCTTGAGAAACAGATGTTAGGTTGAACATTATGTGCCTCTACCTCTTTTCTATTTCTGCAGAGGATTATGAAAGTGATGGAGAGGAAGAGGTGGAAAAAGATCTGGATAATGATGATGACGAGACTAAGGAGGAAGTAGGTATATGAGCCAAAGTTTCCTTTAGAATCATTCATATCCTGGAAAGTAAAACTATCTGTTGTCCATTTTGACAACCTGATAAACTGTCTAAGCAGAGAGTGTAGCTATGCCTATATATGTATACCACATCAATAATAGAAGGATACTTGAAAGGACAAAAAAGAGAAAGCACTGCCTTACACTGAAGAGAATCTCTTGCTTCTATCATATTAATTGCCATGCATGTGGCCCAAGATGGTGCAAGTTTGGTGACTTCTCCGTTCCTGCAGAGAAACTGATCAGCGACTGTTGGAATCATATGCACAGTCAGGGGTGAATCATGGCTATTTGGTTCATCTGGGTTTAGACTAGACATGGCACTTCAGAGAGTAGGGGATATATTCCATTTCACCTAGGAAAAGCTAACTGTCTTCCCATATCAGAGCATATTTGGGCTATGAACCTTTTCTAAGAAACAGGTTAGTTCTTCTAAGCCACAGTTGGGGCAGCTGGAACCCGGATTCTTTCTTTATCTGCTGCTGAACACAGACAAGTAATATAATGAATTATTCAATGCTTTTCTGATTTCTTTTTTTTGCACTCTGTCCCTGCCATGACTCATCTGGCAAAAAAACCCACCAGCTGAGGATAAGAGTGCAAACTTTTCTAATGCAAAAATGTATATAACCTCATACACAAATGCGAGGTAGTGAACACTCTGCTGATACTCTTGTAACAGGAAGTGATATGGGAAAGAAAGTGAAAGAAATTAAGTTGCAAATACAGTCCGATTACATGATTGAGACCTCTGTGAAAGGGTCTTTTCATTACTTACCCTCTCTTTTTTTCCACAAGTATTAAATGATATGGCATCCAATGAAAAAAGAAAGTGAAAAATGTTGACTCAGTGTCCTTCCCCTCTCTGTCTGTTTTTATCTGAATATTAGTGCTCATCAAGATGCTTATTAGAAATAAGCATCACTGTGAATTTATCTCCTTTTTTAATTAGTTATTCATTCAGAAACAGATCCTACGTGCCTCTGAACTAGTTCATTATTCGTAAGGATTTAGCAAGTAGATGTGAACAGGTTTTTTTTGTAAGAGTTTGCTCTGAATGTGTGCTTAAAGTACTATGTGTCTGGTGTGCTGGTTGTATATCTCCCACGACAAATCTCCCTAAAGGGAAAGCAAGCTGGGAATGGATAATGAACTTTCAGTTTACCTTATATTATAAGATACCATTTGCATAACATTTGCTGATATTGATATGATTTACAAACATTTTCACAGCTACCTAGTGCATATCCGTGCATAAAGGTTAATACCAACTAAATGGAAACTGGGCATAACACTTCCATGAGTGTTCCACTTCCACTTCCACTTCAAATAGCTCTACCAAAATGAAAATCGTCGCAACAAAAATACAGCCTTCTCAGGCTTCCTTCCCATCAGCCCAAATCTTCAGCATATCTGAAGCTGCTTCTGTCTTATATTGCCAGTGACAAATCCTTTTAAAGTCACCTCAAATACTTTGTGCAGCCCTTCATTCTATTTTCAACTAGGGCAAATCAGCAGTTCAGACTCTGCTTTGCAGTGCAGCTGTGGCTTGGGGTTTGAAATGCCATGGACACTTGCATCCAGGCAAATTTTTTTTGTTTTGATGAATAGACTCATTTCTGAAGCTATTTTCAGGAGCAAATCACTTCTTTGATGACCTTTGATGGTACATACTTACTAAGAACAAGTTGAATGATTTGAATAATGCTGTCATGTAACGGCCATTCTTCAATGCCGTGTCTCTGTCCTTCCCTCTGCCACCATCTATTCCTGGTTTCTTATGCAATGACTGAATGCATGACACAGCTTGGTTTTGGTTGTGGTGTCTGATATGAAGAGGGTTGCACATCAATGGACGGTTGCCTTTGAATGTGAAAGTTTCAGATATGAGTCTTATTCCTGCTTCACTGATGACTGAAATCTAAAAGCTTTTTGTTTTTATAAAAAATTAAGAAAGAGAGAGAGTGTAGAAGATGGATTGGGCAAGAGTGTCAATGCTATTTATCAAGAGTTTTGAGAGATAAAATAAAATAGGAGCAATCAGTGCCTGCAGGTCCAATGATACTAGGGTGGACCTCTCAGTTGGATAGGTAGAGGCCCAGAAAACCAATTTAGTGGTCTAAGTCAAAAGGGTCAAGCTTTCTAATTTTAATGGTACTCTGTGAGGCCAATTTTACCTATAATGCGTTCTGACAATTTTCTCACCGACTATACGTTAATTTGATTTGTGTCTCTGAATCAAAATACTACCAAATTATCTCTTGAAGACCTGTGCCTATTGGTTTAAAAAATATAAGCAAGGAAGTGGTTAACATGCTCAGAAATAATTAGTATCTGTTGGTGTCCTCTCTTTTAAGTTAAGGTGCTTACGCATACGTTCAAATTTCAGTAAATGGGTCTGCTTTTTGGGAACCAAGTATCTTCATGGTGTCGCTACTTAGGTACTCAAATACCAAGACACCAGATTCCAATTTTTGACAATTTAGTCTTGCCTCTTGTGTCTGTATCTTTTGTTCCATAAAATGATTTTAACAGACTTTGTGAGTATGAGGAGAACGGTTGTAGGGCGCATTCAGTGAGTATGATGTCATTAGGGATTCAGCGGTGTATTAATTTAATGGTCATCCTGTGGGGCATGTTTAGTATATATCCTTTTCTAATTCTGCTTTTGAAGGATGACGACTTGGAAACAGATGTGAACAAACTGAGGTCAAGGCCAGTGCTTGACCGACCAGAGGAGGAGCTTAAACAGTATGAAGCAATGTGTCCAGAGCTTTCCCATAATTTTCAGGTATGATCATAGTATGGCTTCCTTTATTTGTGAATATTCAAAAGGTTAAGAAATAGTAGAAATGGAGTACTGACAAGAAATAACAAAGTGAGCCTATTGCAAAATGAAGGCTCATAGCACTGGAAAAACAAAGATTAATTCTTTTTGCTGTAGTTTATTGGCCTGAATCTAGAGTGATAAGAGAATAAGTGATATTACCATCTGATTGTTGTCTGCTGCACATTTGACTGGCTATGGATTACTAAGCCCTACTGAATCAATTGCCATAAAAGAGATCTGTCCGAAAGTAATTTGTATCCTTGCTGGCTATTACAACAGCAATATCGAGAGCTGAATGTGGTGTGGAAAATAAGCACTGTCAGCTAGTGGTTTGAAGGAAGTGATGGAGAAGTTTGTACTGCTGATAGTGAAATGCATAGTTCAAATCATTGCTCTATTGCAATTTTGGACAAGAAATGAAGGGGAGTAATGTGCTCATTGTTAGTCTCGGAAGGAATTTAGGAATGCTGAAAGCAGTGATTCAAATATGAATCTGGAAAGAACCACTGAGTTAATGCATCTCCTATACAAAAAATGCTATGACATTTATTATGACCATAACTAGCCAAATGGGATTAAATTATACTCTTGCAGGAAGGCAGGGGTGGAATTTTGCATGATAGATTGGGGCTCTTTACTCTGCTGCGACATTTAATTCACAAAACTTGTTTTAATATCTTCCCTAATTTGCTAGAACACTCAGTTTTGGTTGGAGATGACCCTCCCAGATGACTCAATCTGATCCTTTCTAGCTTCTATGAACTACTCTGGAAAGAGCTTTGTGGACAGAGAATTTCTGGCAGGTGGTTCATGGGCTGATTTTATTCTGTCTGATTGGATGAATACAATTTTGGGAGACTTGTAAATATTTTCTCTTTCAACCTTGAAAGGTTTCCCTCTGGAAGGAGACTCAATCTATTTTTAGTGTCTTTTAATTTCTTCTGCTTTTTGAATTTAAAGGAGCTTCAATCAGAGTCTGAAGAAGAGAAGAGCTCAGAGGACAACACTGAGAATCTTCCATCTACTGCCTCTTATTTCATTCAAAGTGCTACGTCTGCGAAACATCAAAACACACAGAGCAACCAAAATGTTACAGAAATGGGACCAGATCCAGGGGAAAAGGATTCAAAAGCCCCACCGCAGAGCTGGACAAAGAAGAAGAAATGCAGACGGGCTCAGGTAACTGAAAGGCAGGACGTAGAAGAGACGATCCAAGATGCAGACTCCCTTGAAGAGGAAGATCTGACCAGGAGTCATGTGCTGACTGTGTGTCCTCTCCCAAAAGAGGCTGCTTGGTACAAAAAAATGTTTAACAATGAATGTGAGGCCTCAATCAATCCTAGTCCTGGAAGGAGACTGGAGACCTCAGATATACTGAAAAATCTTCTGAAGAAACACCAAGAAAATATGCCATTCCACAGCCCTTTCTTCTACATAGGTAGGGCTGAATGCGTCAAGTCCATACCAGACTACAAATTCTTGGCGTTCCCAGATTTCTGGGGTCACCAGCCACCTCCTTATGGCAAGCCCATGCTGGAGCGGAAGTATGGGGTTCAAAGGTGATTGTGCTTTAATATAGTTATCACACTGAACTGGCTTAGGGAAGTTTTGACTATTACATCTCTGAATTTTCTAGGAAGTTACAGAACAAATTCTGAGCCAAGCCGTGATTTGCCACAAGGAGATAGGCCAAACAGCAGGATGTTTTTTTTTTAAGTTTTACTCTTAAGAAAAGGAAAATGGCATTTTACTGGATTAGGAACAGGATTAGGAATCAGTAGGCCTATTTCTTATCTCTGACACAGACTTCCTGTGTGTCAGAGTATGAGTTGTGAAGTATCCATGCGTTACTTTCTTTGGTAGATGGAGGTAGCAGTGGCAATCTTTGAGTGAGATCTTATGGTTTCTGTGAATCCATAAACACTCACCTATCTCATACTCCAAATTATTGTTGATTAAATTAGTAACTGCTGAACGTATCAGTGTAGTGTTGGGACTCTGAGCCGATTACAGCTCTGAGGTGGATCTACTCACACCATTTCCTTAAAGTGAGCAGACCAGGGACCCAGACCGATCTGTGAATCTGTAAAGCTAGATTTTGTTACAACACAAACAAGAGCAAGTTCTTTTTAGAAATGGAAAAGATTCTATATCCTTTCCAGATAGGTTTTTGCTTTTAGTCTGGCTCTTAATCCAGCCACCTTTACTGCTTGCCACAAAGGGTCCCCATTGGCTCCCTAAGGAAAAATCCTATCTGTCCCCTTGGAGCTGTGTGTCTGCATCAGATTGTTCTCGGGGATCTCCACTTGACCCTTTTGCTGTGGTGTCCCTCCTCACTGGACCTCTCCCTCTCTGCCTGCTCCATGGGACCCTCCCGACTCTTCTCCTTCTTCCCTAGCGTCTGCCCCTGCTTGTGACAGGGGTACAATCGCCCATTCTTCCAGAAATTCATTAGGAGCCAGAGAGCAGCAGCCAGGACATGGCAAACAGGGTGCTTTCCCTCCCTGCTGCCCACCCCTAGCCTTCGAGGAGAAGAGAGCGTACATGGCATGCAATACACAGCAAGAAGTAATATAGAATAATATAGTAATATTCCCTCTGGCACAATACTAGAGGTTGCTGGTTTTTTCATGTCATTTTAGGAGTTCAGCTGAGGGGAAAGCTTTGTTTTGAAGCTGTGCTGGGACAGGAAACTCTTCTGCTAACTGACTTTTTGTCTATTCCATGTATGGCTGTATGCAATGACTTTACATTGGTTTTTAGTGGCATAGGAAGCTATTATGAGGCACCAAAAAGGCTCAATATACAGGATTCTGAGCAAAGTGTTAAGGTTAATCAGCACTGATCAAATGGCATTTATGAAGACTACTAGTATTTGACCTCCAGAGAGATAATGATTCTTCCCGCAGCAAATATAAAAGCTAAAAATCTTATTTAGAGGTAAAATGAGTCTACCATCTTCTCCTTGCACTATTGCTCTAAAAGTTTTGCTCTTATGACTGCAATAACATGTGTAACCATATAGCTAAAATGAGAATAATCATATCATGCTGCAGGCCATAACATGGTTGCTGCAAAGGTCAGATTGACATTCCATGTTTGATCTTCTCCTGTGATCAGGAAGCTAAGTTTACTAATGAGTAGAATTTAGCCTGATATGGAGTCAAGATTCAGTATAAGATAGATGAATAGGTTTGTAAGTTATGGCAGATATTTGGGGCAATATGGGGGCAAAGCTAGTTAGGGGCCTGAGATTGACTGTGAGGAATTGAGGATAAATCAGACTTGACAGAATATTGTAGAGAATAAAAATTGTACAGAATCTGTCATTTAATCCAAAAGACAACTTCTGGTAACTGGAATTGAGCAGGAGCTCAATGATAAAAAATATATGGATGAGGTTCATCTGGAATTAGCGCATGGAAGTCCTCTTTCTCACCAGCCCCTAGAAAACATTTCCTAAGCCTTTTCATATTTCTTCTGCAAGATTACCCTGTGCTTCTCATAGCCTCATTACAATTTGCATTTTTTTTCTAGGGACAAAGTACTGGATGATGTTCGCCGCTTAATCCAGCCGGATGATGTGATAGGCAGAACCGTTTTTGATTTAGACGAGCCCAAGTGGGTAACCTCAATTGAGTACTATAACTGCGGGCACTATGAGTGCTGGGTTAGGTAGTGAGCTCAGTATGTGGTACACTTGGTTCAGCTCAGATAAAGGTGTAGAAGAAGTAACCTAGGAGATAAGGTTCAACAGGGGAAGTATGCTGGAGGGGTAGTCTCCTGGTACATGGCTTTGGGAAAGGATTTATTTTGGAAATCACTGGAGCAAGAGAGTCTCCAAACTTTTTAAAGGAACAAGAAAATATGCACATCAAAAGGGTTGTATTGTGTCCTTGGATAAGTCTGGTATGCAGTAGAGACACACAGGCTTGCGCTGAAAAGTGTAGCTTTTTTTTTTTTTCCGGTCCTTGAGAAAACGTAGCAGAAGGCAAGGAAGAGGGTCACAAAACAGAAGAAACTGCATTCAGAGGAAGGATGAGTGACTTAGAGAACATTGTCTTAGGAAAATGAGGTGGAAGAGTTTGAGGTAGGAGAGAGCTGTGAAGTTGTTCAGGATGAATTTAAGGATTTCTAAGCTTTAGGAAAGAGAAACAATATAGATGTGGGAGGGGTAAATGGAAAACTTGTGTAGAGCTGCCTTGTGCAGTTAATCAACTAATGGGGATATATTAATGAGGAAAGTAACTGGGATAAAAAATGTAAATGAGAATTGGGACAAAATGGATTGCTGGGAAAGGAAAAGGAGATGAGATTTAGAATCATCAAGCAAGAGTAGAGAAGGCTGGTGCTTTGGATAGGAAGGCTGGGGGTTTGCTTACCTCTTGCTATTTCTCAGGGTCTTGCTTATAAAAAGCTTATAGAAAACTATAGCAAATTCTAAAAGTTGCTAGGGAGGACTTGACTTTGAAGCAACCTGCTCTAGATATCCTTGCTTTGATTTACTGCAGTTACTCAAGCCCAGGTGCTCCAGGCTGCCTGACATTTTTCTCCAAGTTTGAATCAGGAAACCTTCGCAAAGCCATCCAAGTGCGTGAGTAAGTACACCTGCAGTGGCTGTGTCCTGGCAGTCTCTCCGCTGTGTCCACAGTGTGGAATGCTGGGGTTCTTCTGGATTCTAAACAGATCAAAACAGGGAAACAGCTTTCAAGAAACAGAGCCTGCCAACAGTTAGATGTCGTGAAGGTAACAGGATGGGGAAAAAAGAGCTCAGAAAGTTTTGGTATGACTAATGCAGTGCAAATATTTAATGGTATGCTTAGGTGCTACTGGTTTGATGGCACTCTTTAACTCTTACAGGATATTAATGATTTTGGTTGTATAGCCTTCTTTCCTCAGCAGGTTCAACGGCAGACTGATGTGGTATTCATGGCCACCATTTTTGTGTCTTGCTTAACAGGTTTGAGTATGACCTGATTTTGAATGCAGATGTGAACAGCAACCAGCATCACCAGTGGTTCTACTTTGAAGTCCGTGATATGAAATTAACAGTTCCCTATCGCTTCAACATTATCAACTGTGAGAAGTTCAATAGCCAGTTTAATTATGGTATGAGCCTTTGGGGAATTGGGATTATCTTTTGTTTGTCTTTTTAATGTCATAAAGGTTTCAAACTTCCTTTGTCCATAAGTCTCTTGTATGTAAGGGAGACTATAAGTTTCATTTTGTCTACCCTGAAATCAACTGAAAGAGTTGCTTCAGATTTGTCAAAGGACCTTTCCCT